GTGAGGCCTTAAACCAAGCAAATAAAGAGCACTTTGTCACTCCAGCTTGCATTGCTGGCAGGCATGGCATCCCCTCCATCACAAGTGATGCTTACAGTGGTAGGGCTTGGCCAGGCAGAGGTTGGATTCAGGTCCTGAACGGGCTTAAAGTCTAGCTTGTAAGGGGAATTGCAGAGCTTCCTCAGCTGTGTGATTTGGACAGGAGTGGAGTGTCTAATGTCAGTGATGAAAGACCCTAGCTACTGCTACAGGGGCCAGCATGCTTGATGCCATCCTTGTAATCAAAGATGACCAAATACCTTTTACCTGGATGAGTTCTCTGGTGGCTAAGTTGAAGTTTTGCCTGAAAATTACATCTGCAGGCTGGACAGATGATGGGCATTTGGGGACTGGTCCTGATGTGAGACTTGATGTAAGGGATGCAGAATGCTAGTTTAGGCCACTGTGGACCAATCTGCATTATGTTTATAGGCTGCTTGTTCCTAGTTTTGAATGTCAGTATGGCACTGATTCAGATTGGGGTTTCAAACAGTCCTTTTTTCTCTTGCCTTGCCTGATGTGTGATCATTTGCCAGAGCACATTTCTCCAGAAAATATTTTTTCCCTTGGGCTGCTGGTTATTAGACATCCCAGTTACATGGCCAGATCACTTTTTAATTGTGTCTTTTATAATAATGGCACAACTACTAGAGACTTTCAGTCTTTGGGAGTCTGTCTTGCCACTTTCTGTTCAGCAGCATTTGCATTCAGCTTTGGAAATGGCTCAACTTCTTGACAGAATGGCAGCAGATTGTCCACGACTCACAAGCACAGAGCAAGGGCGTCAGGACTACCACCTGGTAGACTTACAATGTTGTTAGCAAAACTATACCTTGCCTATTCCAAGGTGTTCGTGTTACCTTCCAGAGGCTGTGCCAATCTTGGCAATTCTGTTGTAGCTTGGCAGGCTCAGGCAACCCAGGGAGGTGAATTCATCCACAGCTTGATGCTAGTCCCAGTAACAATACTTTGTAGTACATGGGGCTTACTAGGAGCATGGTGGTATGTTCCCTCTTTAAACTGCTTAGTTCAAAATGTGAGCACAGAGTATTTGATATATTTCCTACAAGAAAGGTGGAGAAGGAAATAAGTTGAGGGGGCATGGTTCTTGCAAAAAAAATCTGCAACTAGCAAGCAGTTAATGAATTCATAACCCCCATCATCACTGTCTAGTATAATGGAGTGGAAAGGGAATTCCTGTTTGGCACTTCCAAGTGCCACGTTCCAACTTATTTCTGTATTCAGAAAGGTACTGGAGAGGCGACATTCTTGTCCCTGCGCATGCTGTGGGGAAGCTATAATTAACAAACTAGATCTTCTGGAACGCACAAGTTGATCTACAGTCTCTTTGTTCCAGTGAGACTTATCCTACAGGTCAGCCTGTGCCTTGGATGAATGCTGGAATAATTTGTCTTTGAGTTTTGTTTCTTAACCCTTGGTGTTGATTCTCCAGGTCCTATAAGGCCAGTACATCAGACACGTCAGCAGTGGTAACCAACCCTTGGCCAGGGGTGTCAGTGGTAGCAAGTGGCTGGTGACTAAAGTTAGAGCCACAAAGGCTTGCTGGTCGTGCTTTTGCCTAGGTAAGGGCACCCCAACTTGAGACCTCTGAGTAAGTCTGCAGAGGACTGGCTGGTCTCTCAATACTGGAAAATGCTGGCTCCTCTCCTTGTTAAAGGGATGCCTTTCTGCCTGTCTGTTCTATTTTATTGGTCAAGGGTGTCTTCCTGCATAAAACTTGCAGACTTCTGCTCTAAGCTGCAGGCCAAGCTAAGCTCTCCTTCCTCTTCTGCCATCTTACTTGCTTCCAGATGGTCCTTTTGGTCTTCTGTGCTTGCTTTCCCTCCACCTTCTCAATACTAGTGGCTGCCATGGTTCTGTTGCTGCCAACTCTGTGACAGCTCTCTTTCTTTTTAGAGGATGGAGAAAGGAAGTCCTTTGGCTAATATTAGTTTCCTAACCTGTGCAGTGGCAAGCTGCATCTGTGCTAATAGGTAACACTGATGCCATGCCTTGTGCTGAGAGCAGGTGTTTTGAGGTGGGCCTCCTAAGAACAGCAGATACTGGTATATTTTTATGTAGCAAGCTAGAGCATCCATGCATTTGGAAACCACTGCTAATAATGCAATAACTTTGTAGACACCCATCCAATACCCAAGGAGGCCCCAGCTCTTCCATGGGGGCAAGAATGCAGAGTTGGGATAAAAAGCTCTGAACAGGAAATTCCAAATATGGGGTCTAACTTGCAAGGAAATAGTCTACACTGCAATACAGTCACTTCAGTATGCAGCAGGTTGGTGTGGGAGTTGGCAAAAACTTGAGACACCGGCAATGCAAGAAGTGTACACTTCCCTCTGAAAAAGTCAAATTTACTAGTCTTGTGAGTAACTCCTAATAGCTGTGGGAACTTCCTCAGTCTATTTAATTGCCACATCTGGCAGCCCCTTGTGTATAGCCTATCTAATGGTTTATGGGGCAGCTGACAGTGCATTTTGAGAGGGGAGGCTCTTCCCATAAGTGGAGTTGCAGCTCAGTGGGCCAGAACACATCTGACTGAAGAGTGGGAAGGGGCTGTTCATCTGTTTCATAAAGGTGGGTGGTTTGTGTGACAGCAGGTCCTCATGTCCTCCTTGGCATTGAGGTTTCCTGCTTGCGTATCCCTCGCAGCCAGATCCTTACTGGGGTTATATGACCCTGGTCAGCTCCACTGGCAGACATGCTGCAGGACAACCTCACCAGTGTGTACTGAATGTGAGTATGACCAAGCTTGATGCCCATACCGGGTAACCACTAACGCAGACAGTTCTTTTGCTTGAGAAGCAGCATGGTCTGGTGGGTGAGGACGGCGGGGCAGGGGAAGAGGAGAAGTTGGGTTCTAGATAGGGTTTTTCACCTAATCTGCTGAGTGAACTTGAGCCAGCCACTTCATCCCTTTGCTGCTTTTCTTCAGCCCCAGTCCTTTTGTCAGGGGATGTCTCCCGTGTGTGTGTGTGTGGAGGGGGGTGCACAGGGCTGTGGCTTTTTTGCCACAGTATGAGCTTGTGCTGAGACCTTTTCTCACCTGTCTCTGTCTCTATATCCTTGGAGTGCAACAGAATTTCCTTTTGCAAGTTCTGTAACTGCTAGACTCAGGTGTAGCAGTTGCATGCATTTCTGGATGCAAAACTCCCTTGAAGATAAATTGACACACAGACACATACACGATGGGAGGAGGAACCCCCAAGGCTCAGCCACTTGGACATAGAGGTGCATCTGCAGCTCTAAAGTTCTTGAGAGTGAAATGAAAAGCTTTAGCTCCATACAGCAGTGAGAATTCAGTCCCACTTCAGTTCTAAATGGGCTCAGTGACCTTGGAGCCTGGCTATGATTTGTAGTGTCTGAGCAGCCTTCTGTGGCAGGCATATCACAAGGTAAGTCCTGAACCCCCTCCCTGACTGCCACTCCAGGCTCCTTCCTCTGCCCCATCTGCTGCTCTGCTTTTTGTCACTGTGCTGCCTGCCCCCTCCCCATTCCAGCCATACCTAGGATATCCATGCAACTTCTGGCATTACACCTTTCTGACAGGGTTGGGGAGGGGGTGGGGTGGTGATGATGGTGGTATGCATTCCAGCACTCAAAAGCTCTGACTTGCCCGGTGTTTCTGGGTGCTAACTTAGGACTCCTGAACTGTCCATCCTTTTTAAAGTCTATGTTCCTACATGGTTGACCAGTTAATATTGCCTTGTCTATAACTGGGAGTATATGAAGAAGTCTGGATCTTTGCTGTTTGGCTGTATGGTGATATGGACATTGACTTAAAATTAGAAAGAGATGGGGGGATTGGGACCCTAAGGAAGGAACTCATCTAGAGGAGGGGTATCCCACGTACAGCCCCCCAGCCTTGTAGAGGGGCTGAGAATTCAGGACAAGGCCTGCCACCAAAATCCTAGGCACACATCTAGCCTGGGGAGCAGGTGAATTTGAAATTCCTGGTCTAGAGTCATGAGACAACTGAAGGCTGTATTTGATAATTGAGACTGACAGAAGTGAGTACAGCTCCACTTTGGATTTGGCCCTCTGTCCTGTGTGGCCCCTGGAGGGCACTGTTCCATTGTGGGGAATAATGGGAGGGGTGGGTTTCCTGCTTGGACTGGTGCACAGCAAAGTACATGCTACCCTCTTCTCCTACCTCCTGAAGCAGGAGAGTGACCAGTAAACAGGAGGTGGAGGGGGTAGGAAGGGAGCCTGGTCCAGCTTTTCATTAAAGACCCTTGTGATCCTGGACACAACTGTATGCTGCATGATTGGGATGGGTTTCCTGCGAGGCACTATGTCCTGGGGACATAAACTGTGTTCCAGAAAGAATGAACAAACAAACAACCTCGTACAGCTCGTTAGAAGGAGGGTAATGGGGCCTTTCAGTCTCCAGTGTCAGTAAAAGGGAGTTTCTGCTAAAGTGTTCTTTGAAAGACCTTACTTGGATGCAAATGGCATTTCCTGTGAAGTGTCTCAGGCTGAGGCTTTACTAACAGGTGGGATTTTGATGGCTCTTATGTCCTGATCTCATCTTCTCTAATACTTTGTTTAAAGCAAACCAAACAAACGAAAAAACACAACAACAAAAATACCTTGGCTTGGCCCAAAGCTGTTCACACAATACCATTTGCAGAGTTTATACACATGCAATCATGCATCTGATGGAAGTCAGCCTTCCAAAGTTTGCTTTTAGTTCAATACCATCTGGTGAATTCTGAGTTCCTCTTTCCTCCTTTCCACCTCAACATTCTTCTTCAGATTTTATTCCACAGCTGTTCATCTCACTTCAGGCTTGCTGGAGCAACAAAACTCTGCACTTTGTACTATACAAGATAATAGAGCATTGACTTCTGGTGTTCTAGCAATAAAAATAATGCTGTGCTAAGCAACCTGAGCTGGCTGTGTATCCTGGCACTCACTCTTGTTCTTGCTGTGGTATCTTGCAGGTGCAGGGAAGTAAGCGGAGATGGATTTATATGACCCTCAGACCCTGGGCTTTATGGTCTTCGGAGGCTTCATGGTAATTTCAGCCATTGGGATTTTCCTGGTCTCCACCTTTTCCATGAAGGAAACTTCATATGAAGAAGCCCTGGCCAAGCAACGGAAGGAGCTTGAGAAAAGCCAGCAGCACAAAGTGGAAAAGAAAAAGAAAGAGAAACCTGTAGAGAAGAAAGTGAAGACCAAGAAAAAGGAGGAGAAGCCTAATGGGAAAATACCTGAGCAGGAACCTGGGCAAGAAGTAACCGATGCTTCCAAAGAAGTTGCTCCTGAGCCAGCCCCAGTGTCTGAGCTGACAGTCCTGGAGACACCCATTGTGGTGGTTTCGGCTGCTCCTCAAGAAAAGGAGAAACCTGTCCCATCTCCAAAAGAGAAGAAGAAAAAGGAAAAGAAGGTGCCAAAGGTAGAGCCAGCTCCCAGCTCTGTGGTGGCGGGCCCACCCTCCCCAGTTCTGCAAGCCTCTCCACTGAAAAAGACCGCACAGGTGGTGGAAGTGGAGTGCCGCCCACTGGGACAGCAGAGTGCTCCAAGAGCCAACTCTGCCGTCAAAAAGGCAGATCCTCTTCTGAGCCAAGAGGAGCTGAGGCCAGATGGAGCTGCTAAGAAGGCCACATCCAAGAAGAAGGGTGAGGCAGGTAAGTGTCAAATCTGCTGCTGACCTCCCTCTTCTATGAGTAACTAAAGCAGCTTGGTGTGGGAAATGGAGGATTAGCCTTGCATTGGTGGGGGTGAAGGAGAGGGAGGAAGTGCTCGGTCCTAGGGCTCTGACTTTCTCTTGGGAAGTGCTGTGTTGCTTGGGATGCCATTGTTTGAAATTCCAGCCACATGTCTGTGGTTTCTGTCAGACTGGGAAAGCCTTGCTGGCTTGGGGGTTCTCTGTGAAACTAACCCTTGTTTAACTTCTTGGTTTGATTTGGCACTCAGTTGTTTATAGGATCGGGTGCTGGATGCTCCCATGTGCTTTAAACTGATTTGTTGCTTGGCTCTGGTTCTAAATAACTTGATCTGGGTCCAGAGCCAGAGGAGCAGGCAGCACATTCCTTGTGGGTATCTAAGCACCTTGCAACTGTGTGTAAATGCAGAGTGGATGGGTGGCTTGTAGGCGGGACTCTTCTCTACTTCTCCTGGGAACAGGAGAGAGAAGAAAAACTGCTTGGATGCTGCATCCAAGCAGGAAAATGGTGCTGTACCCTTGCTATCGACCATGCATGCTCTTTTAAGAGGAAAGCTGGATCGTGAATGCAGTCGGGTTAGCTGGAGAGCAGTCCCTGGCTAACAAAAGTGAATTCCCATATTGGCTACAGAGAGAGTGTATGACAGAGACTGTACACCTGTCTGTCAAAGAAGCTTGTATTTTCTCTTGCATTTTTGCTTTTTGGATAGACTTTGACCAAAGCTTTTTGGTGTTGCCTTTTTAGTAGCTTTTAGTTCATGCTGCAGTAACTCTACCAGTTATGCTAGAATTAGTAGGGAGTGGGGCAGGGGGTGAATATGGGCTTGCTTTGGAAAGGGAAAAAAACATCCTTTAAATGCTTATTGGACAGTCTGTCTTCAGACTGCCTCTAGCATTGCCAGCTCAGCCTCTAGCTGATCAGCGTCTGCTGATCCCACGCTGAGCAAGAACAATTCCGGGAATTCTGGTGTCTTGCTCCCGACTGCAGTCAAGCTTTGAGCAAACGGCTGTAATGAGGGTGCAAGGAAAAATATAGTTAAGATTCTAGCACCAAAAATCCTTCACTGTGTGGTTTTTTTTTCTTTTTTTTTGCATGCAAATGGTGTCTCTCGTCTCTTCCTGTCTCGCATAATATCCACTTTTTTCCCTGAAGCAGAACAGAGTCCTGGATGTGTACCTAGAGAGACTTTTTTTACTCTTTGGAATCTCTCTCCCTCACTTCTGAACAACTTTCTGTTCAAAACTTAAAAAATTACACTGATATCTGAACTTCTGTTACAATAATGTCCTATGCAAGACCTCTTTAAGAGATCAGAGAGGGAGTCTTTTTAATCTGAGAACACTCAATGCATGCTTAAGACTTAAACAAAAAAATCTGTTTCTTATACTAAGCATTTCTGGACTAAGTTGTTTTAAGAGGCAGTATACCACCATTTTCCTAGTAAGTGCCTTGTACAAGGTAACATGATTGGAGCTAGCTTCAAGCTGTGGATGAATTAACCTCCCTGGGTTGCATGAGCCTGCCAAGTTCCAACAGAATTGCTACGGTTGGCTGGTACACCCTGTGGAAGGTAACAAGAACACCTTTGGGATAGGCAAGGTACAACTTTGCCAACAGCATTGTAAGCCTACAAGGTGGTAGTCCTGACCCCATTGCTCTGTTGGAGAGGTGTGGACAATGTGTTGCCATCCTGTTAAGAAGCTGATCATTTCCATCAAAGCTGGATGCCGATGCTACTTAATAGAAAGTGGCAAGACAGACTCCCAAAAACTGAAATTTTCTAGTGGGAATACCAAATATTGGTGCCATTATTTTGTTTATGAAGACATAATTATGAAGGAGACTGTGAAGAAACTAAATGTTTAGGTTAGAGGAAAGAGACTCAGTGTGGAAGAAGTCGCATATCCTACCACTACCATCAACCACCATATCCTGAGTGTGTTTGGTCCTTCCAGATGTAATGGTTGGAAATAAGGGATTTTGTGGGACTACCTTGTTAGCACCTGTAATAGGGATCCAGAAGACTCCTGTCTCCTTAAGAGGAAAGGGTAGCTGGGTAAGCTGAAGGATGGCAGGTAGGGAACAAGCTAACTGCTAACAAGCCGGGTGCTAGCAAACAGACAGACTTTGAGGTCACAGGCAGGGGCTAGCCATGGGAAGGTAATTCACCCAGGGAATGGAGACAGTAAAATGTGGCAAGGGCAGGCAGGGAGGCAGCCCAGAAGCAGTGGCCTGCAGGCAGCTGAGCTAAGTCCTAGCAGGGCAAGTAGGTGGGTCATCAGGCACAGAACAAACACCCCTGTGAGTGCCTGCAGAGTCACATGGCAAGATGGGACTGGGCTTAGGAGACTCATAAGCCAGTGCCTGAGTCCAGGCAGGCAGTCTGGCCCTGGTAGCTACAGAGTGAAGACCTCCTGCTATGGAAAGCTGCAGTTGGAGGCTCTGCTGCATCTGGAATGCCCTGATGATACCAGTAAAGCACTGAATACTTGCTGCAAGGGGGATAGGACCTAAGGTAGGCCAGAAGCATGTTAGACAACCAGTTGGCTTGAAGTTTTTATTAGAGCCAGAGTGCTTATGTTTTGATTTTGAGTTTTTAGCCAGTAGTTTGGGTTTGGGACTACTGGGGAGGCAGAGGTCTTAGCTGTGCCTGAGGGGCACATGCCTGCCTTGAGCCTGGCCAGCAATGGGGCTTCAATAGTTAGAGTAGTGGAGAAAGGACTAGAGGCTCAGCGCCTGAGCAGGGCATGAACTAGGGTCAGGGCCAGTAGCCTAGGATGGGTGAGATCAGCCCGGAAGGGCAGAGCCCATGGGCTCAACTGGCCAGAAAAGCTAATCCTGGGGCCACAGGCCCAGAAATACTGTCAAATGATGGGATGGAATCAGTGGGCCAGGGCTGAAGGCTTGTGACCAGAGAAACAGAAAGCTGCAGCTGAGAAGGCAGAGGTCTCTACAAGGGACAGAACAGTATTAAGTAAAATCTGCTAGGCATGGGTATGACTGTGGGGAGGTCAAAGGCCGTGCATAGTCCATAAGGCAACAGGTGCCCTGGTAGCATGTATGGGTCAAGAAAGCCTCACCTGATGTGAGGGATAGATTGAGATCAGCAGGATCAGCTGACAAAGATGAGCTGAGGCTCACTGTAGGCCCCTTGAGCAGCTTCCCTTTCTAAGCTCAACCCAGTCTATCAAGGAGTGGCAGGTGAAGACAAAAGGGAGGGACCCTTAAACCCAGAACAGTACAAGACTCTGGCTGGTCACAGCTGCCCCTGCGGCCTGGATCCATTACAACACCCAACTTTTGGTCTGTAGATACTTTCTACAGGAAACAAAACAGTTCACGTAGCTTTCTTCCAACCCGCCACCCATACATGCACGCACCCCTCTCTTTCACTGACAACATGAACTGTCCATACTGAGGCTCCTTCCTCTGACCTAAACTTGAATGCAGTAAAGTTACTGCTTTGCTCTGGTTTGCTTTTGGATCTGGCAGAGCTACTTTACTGGGCAGTTCATCATGATATCACATGACTTTTGAGTTTTAGCCCTAGCAAGCATCAGCTGAGCAAGCTCAGAAGTAACCATCACTCCCTTCAACACTTGGTTCTTCAGGCTCGTTCATACCACCTGAATTGCCCCTTCCAGACTTCAGATGTCTACAGCAAGGGCCAGCCAAAGATGAGATGAACAGCTTTTTAAATAAATATTCTGGTGTTCCACCTCTTTCCACTCGTTGTATGAGGCTTTCAAAAATCCTGTCATGGAGGAAGTTCTATCCCTAAAAATTGAGGTAGAGGTGAGGAATTGGATGTCAGCCTCAAAGTTGAATGTTCCAGGAAGCTGTCACTTTGTGAAAGACGTGTGGTTTTTGAAAGGCGGTTAAAAAAGTCCTGTTCCGGCCTGTTAGTACAACTGCTTTGAAATTGCATTAGGTAAACAACATTGTGTACTCTAGTCTGTTAGTATGGGACTTGATCCAAAATGCATAGAAAGTTGGAAGTGCAGTGCAGGTGGGTCAGTGGGAAGATGGGGGCTGGGATGACGTGGGCGCTAAGGCATACAGTTGACAGCCCTGAGGTTGCAAGTTCAAGGCCACAGTGGAAGTACATATGACGGGCCATGTTCAGTTCCAATGAATCTACGAATCCTGTTAAGTGCCTATTGAGCAGCTTTTGCCCTTAATGGTCTTAATGCCTCCTGCAGAAATAAGGTTCTAGCTCCCAAAACCTCAAGGATCTGCATTGGGTTCAAGATGGATGTCACAGTAAGTGACATTCATCACAAGGGCACAAAAAAGAAAGAAAGGAAAGTGGGAAGATGGTGTGATCTGGAGGTGGTTGTGGGAACATAGACCTTTATTGGAAGTATTTAGAATAAGGTAAATGAGTTCTTGCAAGACTGCTCATCCAGAAGTCAAAGTTGCTGGAGGCATCTTGCACCTGAGGTGGCTTCTGGAGCTTCTCTCTGCAGCTTCACTTTAGTCCAGATGGATAGATGAGACTGAGTTAGAGCTCTTGCACAAAGCCCGTCCAAAAAAAAAGTCCAGTCACTCAAACCCCCGAGTTTCTGGTTCAGATGGAGCCCACTGTTTGGACAACTATGTAGTCTTTGGGAGCTCCATGTGGCTAATCCAATTGACTATGGCACTAGGTGTCATCATTAAACTACTGCAAGAACTCGCCTGTAAGGCACCAATTCTTTATCTGCCAAGCTTCCTAGGCATTGGCTCAGGTTACAGATATTTTAAATTTTCTTTTTCTACAAGATCTAGAAGTCTCTTTCTTATTCTGCTATTTGTAAATGGATCAAGTCTCCTCAGCTCTTTCCTGCATGGAGATGAACCAAGTTGGATGTCACTCTTGAGCTCTCCACTTAAGGCATGATTTTCCCCATCCATGGAACCAGTCTCAATTTTCTGATGGGCAACTTTCTGACATCTTTTTGAAGAAGGAAAACCCATGT